ATGGAAAGTAGAGGGCACACTTCACACAGACATCTTTATTAACTTGGATTTTACAAATAGGCTTTTAAAACCTCCAGATAGAATAGACCTTTTCCACAATATTCTGGAAAGTATTCAAATTCATTTGAAGAAGAGGGACAGACAGCTTTTGTCTGAATAAATAATTAAATTGGAAATTTTCCTACAAAACAGATTGTCATTGGAAAATACCTCATAGCCCAAAATTGGTAGGAGATTTTATGAGATCATTCAGTTGCTTGCAATAGTTATGTTTGGAGCAGGTTTTCAGATTCAGGACGGAAGTTCTAGTCAGACTAAGATACCCATTCCTCAAATAGGTAAAACTTTTGGGACAAAAAGGGATAAACAAGCATACTGGGGTTATATGGTAATGGGAAACATACCAATATAGTTTAATGATTGAAAGTGAAGAATTTTCAACAGATTGATTACTGTATTTCAATGCAAGATTACATATCTTGTGTGAAAGCCCAATTCCTCAAAACATGACGAATCTTTAAACCCCCTTTCATGTAGAAGATTTAATGGCACCAGTCTTCTTACAGGACATTACAATATAACGAATAACTCATTTATGTCTCTGCTAATTGAAATTATCTCTCTTTTATAAGTGTAAAAGAGGAATAATTAAAATTTTAAAAAATAGAGGGTTTTTTTAACTGTTTCTGTTGTAGTTTCCCCCTGGGTACCAACTAAGTGATAATCAATATTTATGAAAAGCAAACTGCCATTTTCCAGACAAAGAACTAAGAAAATTTACGACAACAGTGAAAGCCAAAGCAGTATTTTGTACTGTGACATGCACTGCAGATTTGAAAAATTCCTTCTTCATTACCAAAGTCACTATCACCATGCCAAGTTAAATAAGAGTTCTGATAAATGTTTCAAAATGAGAGCCTCAGTTGTCACTTATCCAAATACTATAGAATTGCAGAGTAAAAAAGTTTAAGGATAAAACCTTAGATCCAGCAAAATATACAACTGAACTATCTTTAAAACTCCAGAACATTGTTGATGAACAACGTGGATGCCTCTGTATCAGCACATTTACCAGTCAGCAAAGAAAGCAGGTGCTGTGTGATTATAACCAAAGACAATACTTAGATTTAGAAACAGGAAAGACTAATCTTTACTTCTGTAACCCAAAGGGATAGGCTTCAGTGCAGCCTTTCCAGATGGAGTTAAACAAAATCTTGGATATAAGACTCAAACGGAGATAGCACAATGCAAATAGCAGGCTCTCTTTATAAAGAACATCTGCTGTGAAGTTGTTTACATTCCTACTAAAATGGAAAAGAGTATAACTAATTCTCCAGGGTAACCAGACGTATTAGGGGAGTAAGAAGTTATTCCTTAGTGCTATTTTTTATATAAATATATATATAAATAAATTATAAAAATATATATAGTATACATTATTTGTCATTAACTCATGATTTTTCAGCATAATTACGTCACCTGAATGAACAGAAAAATAGGGGCTTGGAGCACAGAGAGACATGCTATATTCATTTCCACATAATTGTAGGCGTTTATTTCTACATTTTTCCATATTTTATACCTAATTATATGGATTCCTGTAGTTTATTTGCTCCCCATTACAGGGAGGAAACACAGCATGTCCATTCCTGAGTCCCTTGCTGAGAAGTCCACTAGAAATGGAGAGCTTTCAACCTATAGGTTAGAAGTTAGCGCTCACTCTTAGACAGAAAATAACCAGACAGTGCCCAAGTTCATCAAGAAACTAGAAATGGGTCAAAAATTATAGGCTATTAATGCTTTTTAATATTTACTATTTCTCTTTGCTGTCATTCTGCTCCAGGCTTTCAGAAGTACTTTTTTTTTTTCCTACAAACTCAAATATATTCAAGCAGAGCCTGTCAAATATTTGTGCTGCTACTCCTGTGCCCCCTCTACCTGAGAAGAAAGCTGGCAATGGAAGAAGTAGAACAACTTTGCCCTCCCCTGTGACACAATGGGTCACAGGCAGGAGAGGGGAGAACAACTATTCAAAATTTTCTTGATTTGTATTAGAACTGCTTTATTGCACTTCACCTTTGAAAAGAGATATTTTTCTTGCTGTGTTCTTACAATGAATTTTTAAATAGTAGAGCTAAAGCTTTGATTTTAAAAGGCATGTTATAAAATTAGTTTTGAATTAGTGTGATATTTTGTATGTTTACTTATGCCAAATTATCACTGGATTTCTCACTATTTGTGGTCTCTCCCCATCAGCATTGCTGCTCAACACCATACTCCAGGTGGCTAGCGCTCTTTCTTTGTCACAAATGTATGCTGTTTCCCAGTAAAGAATATATCAGACTTCTGCACTGAACACAAAATGATATCTGTGGATTTATGTCAAAGAATAATTTGGCTTTATTCCTATATATGTAGGGTAGTAAAAAGTTAATGTAGAAATAGATGGAACATACCAAGGAAGATCAAAGAAATATAGTTTGGGAAGAGGGCTTGCTAGAAATAAAACAGTTAAAAGGAAACAAGATCATCTGTAAAGGTAAAAGATAATATTAACAGTGTTTAAGACCAAAAGAGGAAATTGATCTATAAATATAAATCTGTGATTTCTAGTTTCTACTACATATTTTTTACAGTGAAGACCATATTGCATAGCCTAATCCTTATCTTTGCATCTCTCGTTTTTGGCTCTCAGAAAAACAATTTTTGAAACAATCTGAGAGTATACCATTTAGAAATAAACCACATGGAAGTATTTTTCTACAGACTTGAAATTAGAAACAAAATCTTTCTTTTCTTCTTCCTACACAAGCTAGAGAAGAAACTTGTAGAAGAAACTTTACTATTAGCACAGCAGCTTGATTACAAAGGGCAATTACTAATTTTGAAGTACACAAGAAAGACATGACCTGATTACAGCACAGTGATTCAGATACAGATATAGATTAAGATTAGTATGTACTGATATGACCGACAGAATAAAATTAAAGTCACCTTTCTAGCCAGTGATTTACTAGGTTGAGCAAAGGTAAATCACATTTTACGTTTGCCCTGGAACATTTAGCTTCATACCCTCTCATCCATTTCTACGGGAGCTGGGCAACTATATACCTTTGAAGAAATGGCCCTAATCCTGATTCTGAAAGCACCGCAATGTTTCACAGGCATCACTCGCTTTACAATCCTGAATTTATCTATGAGTCATTTACCATGTAAAATCAAACACATGGCAAATATCTGCAAGAGTCAAAAGCTATCAAGTGGAATTTCAAAGACTTGTTCCACTTTGAATTTTTCAGTCTCTTAAGAAATCTTGTACGCTGTTAATCGTGCTCAATGGTCATTCTCAGACAGTGAGAAGCATAGTTGGAGCCAGTCTCTTCTTTCTAGGGGGAGCAGTTCCTGTACCATAATTAGAGGCACTGAAGAACACTCCACCAAAAACAGTTCTTTCTTTTACTAAGTGACACTGAACACTATCCCAGCCTAGAGCAGCTTTCTCCGAAACACAAAAGCATTCAAGTCTCAAAAACTTCAAAGAAGGCTTTTCATTTTATTTTCTCCTTGATCCACTGATAGTGCAGTTCACTTACTTGAGTGAAAAAGGCGTTTTACTAAATTCAACAGACCTGTGTAACAAATCACTGTCTCAATTGCCAAATGTTACCATTTGACTCATTGACTTTCCCTTTGGCCTTCGGGTAGGAAGCTTCACTTCTGAAACATTTTCTAAATTCACTTTTGTGAACCCTTCACCCTCAGTTGCACTTTGTTCCATTTTAAAAAAACTAATTGCATTTTTTGCAACATAATGTGCTAGTTTCAGGTTTTAAATTTCATCAGAACCCATATTTTCTTTCTTAAACAGAACTTTTGTCTTGTCTTTGAAAAGTAACATTGTATAGCCTACTACCAGCTACGCCACAGGACTTTGCAAGCGGTACCATGTTGTGACATAACGTTTTCCCAGAACTCTCAGTTTCATTCTACTAACTTAGAGCGGCTTTTTCGCTACTAAGTCATTTGTACTCTCCTTTCCCGTATATTGCTTTATTTTTTGCGGCGAAGCATTTTCTCTCTCTGACTATTCTCACTGCATTCTCTTCTAAGACGGTAGCTCCTCTGAGGAAAACTCTAACGGTAAAGACAGGACTGTCAATACTCCTAATCTTTTTCAATGTTAAAAAGGCTGGAAGGGTATAAAGTTACGTTCCTCCAGGCTTTTTCCTTCTCAAAGAAAATAGGTCAACTTCACACAGGTAAGCTTTGCAGGGAATGTAGTTAGTCCTTTTCAAGATGTAGGAACAAGTCCTGTAATATGAATTTTATTTTAGATTAGCTATTTACGTGTCCAAGTGTTCCAGCCAAAATGGCACAGACTAAGAAGTTGCAGAAGCTCATTGCATAGTTAAACTATATATAACTCAGGACAGGTTATAGTGGGCTAGATTCTGATCTTTGTTTGCAGAGCCCACCTGGAATGGAAATGCCGCCATTTCACATTAACAGTGATGCAGCTGAGTTGAGCTTGATCACTCTTCCTTAGTTTTTATGCAGTTGGCTTTACCAGCTTCCTGGGGATCATATGAAAATAGCAGATTTTAGCCGTGATTGCTAAGATTAGGCATCAGTCTCCAAAAGATAAATAAAACAACTAGGAAGCTATATTAATCGTATTAAAAACATATGGTAAACAATCTATATAAAAACGAAGAACCCCCCACCCCCACCCCAAGCTTTTGAACAGCACAAAACCAGCACAAACTATTTGGCCCCAGAGAAATAAACAAAGTTAGAACTGTTTGATCAAAACTCCCCAGACCCTGGGTAAGAATCAGCTTTTTGCACAGGTTTAGCATGACTGAACCAGTCGGATGCCTTTCCCCTGCTGTAATATCTCCCACCCCGCTCCTACTGTATCTCTTCTCTGCCTGCTAGTCTGCACTCCCCTGTTTGCAGCATGGCTCCCTCAGCAGCAGCTCTGCCCTGCCCTTTCGTTCATGGTTCCCTCTGCCCAGGAACCCCGTCGTCGCCCCGCTCTCCTCAACCCCCGCTTCCTGCACGGCCGGTCCCCTGCCCCCGGCCACTCGCC